CGGCCAGCGGCCTTCAGGGATTCGCCCCCCTCTCCGCCCATTCTAGGGTCACAGGGGTTCCACCATATACCTGGCTTTTGCCTGGGGCTGGTGATCTGAACCCAGGTCCTGTGTTTGTGTGACAAGAGTCACCTCTCCAGCCCTTTTTAGTGAGGTGAGGTTGTCCGTGTGAGAGCAGCTGACACACTAGTTCTCTGTTTAATTTCAAGCATTTCTTTGCGTTACAAAAACACTTGTGAGGCCAATATGGTGGCTCCTTCCTGTAATTCCAGCATTGTGAGGCTGAGGCAGGAGGACCGCCACAAGTTGGAGGCTATCCTGGGCTACAGAGTCAAACCTTTTTCCAAAAACAGGTCAGGAGAGGTGGCTCAGTAATAATGGTTTTTCCCGCCAAGCCTGGCAGTCTGAGTTCAGTCCGCAGGACCTGCATGGAAGGAGAAAACCGGCTCCCTTGGATTGTCCTCTGGCTATACAGGCAGGCTGTAGTCTGAACTCCCCCCCCCAACCCCCCACGTAATTAAAAACAAAACAAAAACAGGTTCAGCAGGTAAGGGAGTTTGTCTTGTAAGCCTGTTAACTAAGGCTGGCGGTCCTGGAACCCATGTAAAAGTGGAAGGAGAGAATTCACCCCACAAAGTTGTCCTCAAACTTTCTCATGGGGTGTGTAGCACACATGCCCACTCCTGCACACACATACATACACGATACGATTTTCTTAAACGTTTTTTGTGATGGCATTTGCTTTTTTCTAAGGTTTAAGAAAGGCTTTTGTAAGCTTGTATTTTAACCCAGAATATTCTTAGCATACAATCTAGAATAGTACTTTAGTTATCTTAATCCTTAATATTCTGGCATTCCATGCCCTTCCTTTTATTAATATTTTAAGGAGGGAGGGAGGGAAGAAGTCTCCCATAATAGTCTTTGTGTTGAGTCGGTGTCAAGAGCATCTAATGCTGAAAAGTGAGGGTTCGCAGTCCTCTTGTCCTGAAGGAGTTCTGTTAGCAGCAAATGTAGCTGGGTTGGCAGGCAGTCGCCTTGGTTCTGGATTTCCTCTGTGCTTGCTTTGGATTCATCGCCTGATCCATTCCTAGCGACTGAGTTAGTTCTCCCAGCCTCTGGCAGAGCCCAGCTTGTCAGAATCAAGCTCATCACTCACACTGGCTCTGGCGAAGGAGCCTCCGGCCCTCGGCAAGGAAAGCTGGGTTTCTGTGTGAGCTTAAGGCAGGAAGGCACGGAGGGAGATTAGCTGTTATGTAATGGCGCTTTCAGAGGAGAAGCAAGGCCGAATCTCGGGCTAAAACTGGCCTGAGATGGGACAGCACATGTTTTATTCATCCCTCGCTGGGGTGTGGTGTTAGACTTGAAGTTTCTGTCCTAGGGCAGAGGTCGGTATGCTGGGCAGCTGCTCTTGGGACACCTGCTGGTTGGTGGTATAAATGCAAATAAAACTTCAATAAATACTCCTTTTCTAAGAGAGGATAATTTTTTATTTTTTATTTTTTATTTTTTATTTTTTTTTCCCAAGATAAGTTTCTCTGTGTAGCCCTGGCTGTCCTGGAACTAACTTTGTAGACCAGGCTGGCTTGGAACGCAGAGATCTGCCTGCCTCTGCACCAGAGTGCCGGGATTAGAGGCATGGGCCACCACGCCTAGCTGCTAATTTTTTAATGTTTGTTTTTATATTTGTACAGCTTCACAAACTGATTAATTGGAAATTAATACTCTGACTACCCAGTCAGGATGTTTTTTTTTAAGTGGTGCTGAGGTGTGCTGTTGAAAGTGGGCTCCCAGTGCCTAGATGAAGGAATGGGTAGATTCTTGGCGTATACCCTGAGGAGGTGGCTAAGAAATGACCAGGGAGGAGAATGCCCCTTGGCAGGGTTCCTTCAGCTGTCTGCAGGCTGGAGGCTGAGGCTGGATCAGGGTGCTCTGTCCTGATTTTTTCCTTTCCCCGTCCCCTGCTCCTGTGGTACCCAAACATTGCTTAACGTTTTCAGTTCCTAACCATCACGACTGCTGATCTGGACGTGGGCGACAGAACAAAGCGCTCGTGGGGTCAGCTGTCCCACACCAAGCCCTTTGGTCCGTTTCCATGTGTGGTCCCACAGTTTAGCTGTAGGATGAGGAAGGAGAGGAGGGAAAAGTGAAAAGTTACAAAGTTAGGTGACCTCTCTGAGATGAGGGATTGATAGCGAAGGCCTCTGGCTAACAAAGGAGAAAACTCCAGAAGTTGATAGAGTGTGGGAGTCACGGGCTAAAGGGGAAAGGACCTCAGCTCCTGGCTCCTTCCTTCCTTCCCTGGTGACATTTTGTCCTAAACCACAAGTTTCCCCAGGCCTACAAAGGAGCCTGGAGGACTGGGGTGCCAGGGCCCGGTGCCCTGTCATGGAATGGAGAAGGGAGAGTGGCAGACAGCGTAGACTGACAATTACGTAACTAAAATAACAACAGAAACCATTTTATTTTCTTTTCCCATTTCTGTTTCTTCCAATCGTCATGCTGGAGATTGAACCCAGGGCCTCGTGAATTATAAATAAGTGTTCTGTGGGTGAACTGCAGCTCTAACACCCCAAACTTGTAATTACCATTACCAGGGGCTGGAGAGACGGATCAGCTGTTAAGAGCACTGGCTGCCCTTCCAGAGGACTCGGGTTCAATTCCCAGCACCCACATGGCAGCTCACAGCTGTCTGTAACTTCACGACACCCTCACACAGAAATACGTGTAGTCAAAACACCAATGCATGTAAAATTAAAGGAAGTAAATCATTAAAAAATGGTGATCACCTTGTGAAACACACGTTAGAGTGTGTGTTCTCCTCATCCATGTTAAACTCCATGTGCTCCCAACACCGTTTTTTATTTCTTATTTGTTGCTCAGATATTTTTAAGATAAATTATAGAGACCATTATTAGTTCAGTATTCTTTTTAAGATGTTTGGGCATTTTCCTGTGTGTCGAGGATGCTGTTATATCAATAATATCACTACTTTAAAAAAGATAAAGTTTAGGTTTTAAGTTGGGTTAACCTTTTTAGGTAAACTTTTAAAAATTGACATCTATTTTAACAATTTCGATTTAAATAATGTTAGGGCTCAAGGTGAAAGTGTAGGATGGTGATCATTTGTACTTCAATAGTAGTCAGTGTGATTTTTTTTTTTTAAAGAATAGTCACGTCTCTAGCTATGGCTTCAATTAACAAAATAGTTCCAGCCCCTTAATTCTTGAATTTTTAGCCCATGCAACATCTCTTCCTCAGATTCCCCAAATAGCTATCACCCTCACTGGCTTTAATAGGCAACCTCTTTCTTGGTATTTCCCAAACTCACCCGAGAGCATGACCCAGGAGCCGCCTCTGATACCGCCCACCTCAGTTCATATCCGGCCCATCACCAAGCCCCGCCAACCCACCTCCTTATTTCTCCCAAGTGTTGCGCAGCGTTTATTCCGGTGATTGGCAGTACTCTCAGGAAAGCCCCAGAGTAACTCACAGCTTTGTTCATCTCAGCCCTTCCAGAGCATTCCCTCACCGCAGCTGGGTGAGCTGTTTAAGATACAACCTGACTGTCTCTCAAGGTAGAGCCAGACTTGGACAAGGCTCCCAGGACTCTGCAGAGTAATTATTTAATCAGTATCCGTCCGTCTGCTTCATTGGAAGGACACCCCATCCAGAAGTCTGAAAGGATAGGGGGGAATGTGTTGTAAAGTTGAATTGCTGAAGATTTCGAGCAGTTCATCTACTTTTCTTAAAACAACTTATTTTTTTACTTTATGTATATGGTGTTTTTGCCCACAACTATGTCTCTGTGAGGGTGTCAGATCCTCTGGAACCGGAGTCGCAGACAGTGGCCAGCCGCCATGTGGGTGCTGGGAATTGAACCCGGGTCCTCTGCAAGAGTGGTCAGTGCTCTTAATTGCTGAGACTTCACTCTCATTTTTTTTTAATTTTGAAAATGTAGAATTTCAAAAATGGTCATAAAGTGATTCCGCACGAGTTTAAACCTTTTTGGTGAAAAGTACATTGAAATATTTAAAAGTATCGTTTAAAAAAAATCTCAGCTATTTTAGTGGCTAACGTCAGCATTTAGGCCTCTGTACTGGCCTGCCCTTAGGGTCCTGACAGGATAGACCTCAGCTGCAGCCACTAAGAGCACCCCTGTGTGCATTCGCTGTTCCCTTGTAAAAGGTGGCCTTGCCCACCTTCCGTCTCCTTTCTCTTTCCCTTCCTCGTCCCCAGGGACCCGTCCCTGCCCCCTTCTCTGCCCCTTCCCTTCCCTTCCCTCAGCAAACCTCCCTCATGGGCCCTGTTGTATGGAGACTCCTTCCGCCGTTTTTAAAATACAGCAGCTGTGTCTGTTAAACATCCACTGTTCCAAGGCAAGTCTTTGCGTTACTGTTCTCTTGCTGCGAAGAGACCCCATGACCAAGGCAGCTCTCAGGAATGAAAACCTTTAGTTGGGGCTGGCTCACCGTTTTAGAGGGTGAGTCCATTAACCTCACGGTGGGCAGCAGACAGCTACGGCCCTGGAGCAGCAGCTGAGGACTTTATATACTGAACCTTAGGCCGCAGGCAGAGAGAGAGACTGGGCCTAGTGTGGGCTTTTGAAACCCCACCCCCACCCCAGTGACCCACCTCTTCTAGCAAGGCCACACCTCCTCATCCTTCCTAAGCAGTTCACAAACTAGGGGCCAGACATCGAAATATGTGAGCCCAGGAGGGCCATTCTCATTCAGACCACCACGGTGTTCCTTATTTTATGTAATCTTAGATTCTCTAACGTCACCTGAGTTTCTGTCCAGTGACTCAGGCCCATCTGATACTGTCTGTGGTTAGTATAGACTCTGTAAGTGAAGAACTCTGCCTCCCGAGTGTGGGGATGAAAGGCGTGTACCACCACCACCTAGCTAGGGTGCTGAGGGAAAGTCGCACAGCACAGACTCTTTCCCAGGGGTAGAAAGAATTCTTTAATAGAGTTTTCTTCCTTCTTTTTTTCCCCCTAGAACAACAAGAAGCCGATGAACAGTTTGTAGCAGAAGTAACTGAAAAATGTTCATCCGATCCGTGTTCTAGATCTTCAGAAAATGAAGTGCCGCAGGCGCCCACTGATTCTCACTCAGTCAAGGATGTCAAAGGAGAAACCCACCATGACGTTAGTAAGATCTCAGTGGTGAGGCCATTTTCAATAGAAACCAGGAGTTCCGCAGAGGAGCCGGCGGCTCTTGGACCCAAAGCATCCCATGGCTGTGTGCCTGCGCTCACGGGCGAGGCTTTGCCCTCTGCTGCATCAGAAGCCGCTCAGGACAAGCCAGGGACAGAGGGGGGGATGGGGGTCACATCAGAGGCTTTTACAGAAGCCGGTCTGAAGACTGGAGAGCCCATGGCCAGCAGGAGCAAGCTAAGGAAGCCCAAACCTGTCTCCCTGAGGAAGAAGACAGCCGGAGGTGACAGCGTGGGAGCGGAAATGATCATGGAGGGTTTGCCTCTCCCTAAGGCTTCCTCCCTGATGATTCCTGATGAATTCGATAAGAACACACATCCCAGGGTGCTGAGGGGTGCCAGGGCCCAGAAGTCTTCCCTTAACCTTAAAGAAGCTGCCAGCGCCCTCAGTAATGGCACCAGTGGTTCAGGGGTTGGGCCGCAGGAGGAGTCCAGGAACTCGCCTCTCAGACTTGAGTATGATTTTATAGAAGATGGGGAAAATGTCGAGACCAGGAATGCCCTTCCAAGGAAACCTGCTAACAAACTGATGCCCGACATATGGAAAGACGGCATCAGTCAGCCAGTGGATGTCGAACAGCCTGCAGACCCAAGAGTCCAAGATGCCGCCGTCTCCCAGACGTCTCCTAAGCCAGATCCGAGTAAACGGGGTCCCCCCAACTTGAACTCCTCCGGGAGCTGCCCCATTCTCCAGAGCTCCCCACCCCTCTCCTGCAGAGGCTCCTACCACTTTGACCCAGATAACTTGGATGAGTCCATGGATCCCTTTAAGCCAGCCGCAGCGTTGACAAGCAGCACCCTTGGTTCCGCCACTGGTAATCATGTTAATGAAATCTTAGACTCACCCAAGAAGGCAAAGTCGCGTTTAATAACGTGAGTGACCGCGGGCGCTGGGAGTGGTGCTCTGGTGTGTTCCCTGGGAGTTTGGCGGCTCCTTTTGGTTTCTGTGAATTGCACTCAGGAGTGTTTGAGGTGCAGTGGGGGGGGCACTTTCCTCTGTAGTCTTCGCCAAGCTCTTCGGTGCGTTTGGAAACCTCCGAAGTTCGCTTACTGATCTCTGCCTTATTTCTGGATCCTTGACTTGTTTAAGTCATTTCCCCCTACCCTGGATACTTTAAAAAAAAACTGTTTAAAAGAAATCAAGTACAGATTGGAGGTTTTCAGGAATCGCATTGTATATAGAATTCAAGTGTCAGTGTTAGCCACCGTCTTTACATTTCAACATTACCTGTCTAAGGTCAGCGGTGTCGGAAATGACCCAAAGCAGTCTTAGAGAACGGAAGTTGTGACTTTGGTGGTAGTGCTGAGAATTCTTTCCTCCTCATGTGTTTCTAGTTCATTAGCAAATTCCCGTGATGAGAACTGAGAGTATTCTCAATGGCCACTTAAATCTGGGTAAATTTGCTGAGTGTTCCTTCTACCTTTTACTTCTCCTGGGAAACAAGAAGGAACTTTTATTTGGGAGTTCCTAAAGTAAACCCCTCAGGCCATATTCCATGACAGGTTTTTAATTTTGATACAGGATTACATTATCAGGAAACTCAAGTTGAATAAAAGATAGTCTACCTGTTTATAACCCTGTGACATCTTGTGAAAAATTAGATGCCAGGGGCCAGTGACATGGAGGATAAAATGCTGAAAAGAAGTGTGTTTGTGGTGGTCGTTAGATTGGCTAGGGAAATTTGAGTGTTTTGCCTGCATGTATGTCTATGTACATAAAACTTTCATGCTTGATACCTGCAGAGGGCAGAGGAGGACATCAGGTCCCCTAGAAGTGGAGTTACAGACCATTGTAAATCTCCATGTGGGTGCTGGGAACCAAACCAGGGTCCTCTGGAAGAGCAGCCAGTGCTCTTAACCGCTGAGCTATCTCTCCAGCCACAGGAAATAATCTTCAACATTCCTGTGCCTTAAAAACACCCGATTGTCAGTTACATTGGAAAGAAAACTATCCAGAGGGGTAAAGAATAGAAATACTAATTTCACGACCAAGAAAGTTGAGCCACACAGCAGTCAGCTCTCCTGTTTAAGGGGACCAGAGGGACAGGCGTAGTTCTAAAGCTGCTCTTGGATGACATCTGAGCAGTGAGATGGACTTTGAAGACTGTTACTGGTGGCTTGTGCAGACCTCTCTGGACTTTCATGGTCAGTTAGCTATTCTGGACAGCACTTGGTGCATCCTGGGCGTCCTGCTGCCTTGGTACTTGTCTCCTAGATGTCTGCCAGAGTCTTAAGTCCTTAAGTGCCTTCTCTCCAGCTACAGACGGCCAGTGCGAAGTGCGTGCATTTCCCTAAGACGGGATCTGGGCTCAGGAAGGAGACCCTGACTCTGTCCCTTGTAGTTAGATCCAAGAAATGCCCTCTCTTGAGTCCTGCCGTCTTCACCCGGTGGCATTCTCTACTGTTCCGTTTTTGTGGAATAAATTTATTGCTCTAATAGATCACGCACATTTAACTAAAAAAATCTGTGCCCAATCAAAATTCTTTTCTTGCAAGAAAAGAGTGCTTGAGCTCCTGTGCAGTGTTAGGACTTGGAGAGCAGAGTCCCTTCACTTTTGCGAAGACGGAGCATAGTGGGGTTAACATCCACAGTGGATAGTTAGTTTTTGAAACACTCAAAAAGATGTGTTTAAATAGGGATGGTACGGGATGGTTAGGATTCTGCAGAGCACATAATATACATGACTGAAATCATTCTAACCTTCCTTGGAAGCAGAGTCTCACTGTGTCAAATTCAGGCTAGCCTGTAACTTTTGACCTCCTGCCTTAGCCTGCTAAGTGCCGGATGACCGACATACTGCCTCGGGCCTGGCTGCTTTAAGTTTCTTAGTGACCCCGAGGGTGGAGTGAGCCGGGTATCTTTCCAACTGTGTCCCTGACCTGGCCCTGCACAGTTCCAGTGAGTGTGCTCAGTGCTGAAGCTCACTGTCTCTATGTGCTGTACCTTCATACGCACCGAGGTCTTTACTTTCCATCTACAGATCTGAACGTAAAACGTTTCTCAGTGTTTGTATCTCTCTCTCCTTCATTAAAGCTAAGGTCTTGTTACCATTCATTCGCCAGGGCTGACCTTCATGAATATGACTTTTTATATTTTAATATTTTGTGGTTTATTTTTGCATTTTGTTTGTTTTGAAGCAAGGTCTCACTGGGTAGCCGTGGCAGGCTGGGAACTAACTGACTTTGTAGATCAGGTTGGATTTGAACTCCCAGAGATCTGCCTGCCTAGTGCTGGACTTAAAGGCATGTACCACCATGCCGGGTTTGAATATGATGTTTTGAATTTGTATCTCACATGATATCAAGAACTCTGCAACTTTTACATCTGGCAGACGAAAGATAAATGTTCTAGTTTTCATATGGTTCTTCTCCATCTGTGTGTCTCTTCATTTTGTTGATGCATCAGGACTACTGAGCAAGTGAAATTTCTCTGTTTTCTGGTGTAAGTACTTCTGCCGTCGGCTCTGTTTGTCCCGGGACTCCGGGCAGTCCCCTCTCCTCCTCCTGCCCGATTGTCTCCTCTCTGCATGTCAGCTTCTGTTTGACCTTCTGAGAACATTTTTGCATTTCATCTGCCACATCTTAGTCGGCTTAGCCTTGCGATTGTCTGTACCTAAAGGAGCAGATACTGCTTTTTCCACCTTGGGGTGCAAAAAGCGTGCGCCCCCCGGCTTACTCAGCATGTGTCGTGTGGCACTCTGGACCGTGTGGCACTCTGGACTGAAAGCTGGCTTGGCCCCAGTCATACCGCAGTGATGTGATGGACTGCCCTACTAGTCACTGTTGGGGATAATTAATTAGATTTCTGTTTTGGTAGGATGAGGCTGCTGTCTTAGAGCAGGTAATAAATTTTACCAAGTAAACTTCAGTTTGGTGACACTTAGAACAGTAGGTAAAAGAAGATCGTGAACTAGTAACCTTGTGCACTCTGATAATTTATATGCTTGTCTATGTTTTCGCTTTTTTCCGTGAAAGGAAAACAAATTGGAAATACTGTTTTTTTTTCCTTTTGTTGGTCAGAATGGTGTGGTTTTTTTTTCCTGAATATTTTAAGTTTATTAAAACATAGGAGAATCTGTAATAGTCCCGTGATCACAAATTCTGTACTAGTCTAAAAATAACAGGTGGCCACGTTTTCCTCAGTCCTGGGCATTGTGCAATACATGGTACTTTTTTTTTTTTTCTTCTCCACTTTACTACTTAAGAATGGTAACAGTTTGTTTAGGTTTTTTCCTTCGATGCTTTCTCTTGGCCCGTAGTTCCTTTCTGTAAGCACCCAAGTCTAGACTGGAGCTGTCTTTGGAGATTCCTATGGTTTTTAGTGCAATAAAGAATTTTCAAAGAATCTGGTCCAGCGTGGTAATTTTTCTGGTGAACGTCAAAACCAAACCTGTAAAGATCATAACCAAATATGTTTAGCTGCCGAGGCTGTTCTTGGAGGGACTTAGAGTCTCGCTCGGAAAGGTTTTTGTATTTTTGTGGTGTGGAATTAAACACGTGGGGTTCAGAGTCGTGGTGTCTGGCACTCCGTAGAACCGAGTGAGGTGGTCTTGCCAGAGCATGAGCCTGGCTGTGGGTCTCTAGGGTGTGCATCGTCGCCACAGCTCTCCCGTGCAAGCGTCTGATCGTGTGGTGCTATGCGCTTTGGCTTCTGTCTGCACCCTGTGCTCTGCTCCATCTCACTCCTGGGGAGTTGTCATTGGGATTCCAAACTGGCTTGTCTGTTCCTCTCATTTCTAGGAGTGGCTGCAAGGTGAAGAAATACGAAACTCAGGCTCTTGATTTGGATCCATGTTCTCAGGTAAGTCGGTGCTGGTCGCCAAAATGGGTCCCATGGGGGTGTCTGAGGACGCAGACTTAAGGAAACCAATTATTAGAGCCTTAGTGTCCTAAACTCATCCAGGAAGGCCCTGAAAAAGACAGCTCGGGGGCCTTTGAGAGATGGCTCAGTGGTTAAGAGCACAGGCTGCTCTTCCAGAGGACCCGGGTTCAATTCCCAGCACCCACATGGCAGCTCACAACTGTCTGTAACTCTAGTTCCAGGGCATCTGATACCCTCACACAGACATACATGCAAGCAAAACACCAATGCACATAAAGTAAATCATTTTAAAAAAACGAAAGAAAAGAGGACTCTCACAATGACCTTCAGTGGGGGAGGGGCGTGTCTAAGATTTTCAGCGCAGTGCACGACTCTCCAGGTCACCAGAGGTATAAGTATTGGTTCTATAAAGGGTGTTGACTTGTAACTGGATAGATTTTATTTTTTTATTTTTTCCCCCAGAGCTGAGGACCGAACCCAGGGCTTTGTGCTTGCTAGGCAAGTGCTCTGCCACTGAGCTAAATCCCCGACCTCAGATTTTTATTTTTATTAAAGGCTCAGGTGACTTTCCAATCTGTTACCTTTAACAAAATGGAGGACCCCAAAATGAGTCTGAAGAAAGACCGAACATTGAACCTGGAAAAGGGTTCAGAGAGTTGAGAGACATGTCGAATATAAAACTTCCTCCTCTTCATCTTGTTAATAATCAGTAATAGGTCTTATCATGGCTTTGAATGCTTCTACTGGTTATAATTATAAAGGTGGAATCCAGAAATTAAGTTAATACTGATTCTTACTTCACCCTAGTGATTTATGATATACATATATGAATATATGGAGTAGTTAAGAAACAAAAACCCTAAAACCAGAGCACACAGGTCTGTGATGCCAGCTTTTAATTTTTTTAGACCTTACCTCAGTGTAACTATAATTGTAGAAACACATGTGTTGGTTGATAGAATGCAGTTAAGTTTATTTTGTGCACTTTGTACCAACAACTTGATGAAGTATAAGATGCTTTCAAAAGAGTGGGAAGAGTTTCCAATTGGAATTCTTCTTCGACTGTTACAAATATGTGGGGAAAAAGTCCTTCCTCAAATTTTGCCAAAACAGGCAACACAAACTGAAATTTCTCTTCAGTTTTCTCAAAAATAAAATCCAGGTAGGTATGGTGACACTTGGCTTGAATCCTGGCGCTTGGGAGGCAGGGGCAGGTGTATATCTATGAGTTTGAGGCCAGCCTGGGCTACATAGTGAGTTCCAGGCTAGCCTGTGCTACATAGTGAGACCCTGTCTCAAAACAAAACAAAAGCCTTACGTATTGTATTGTAAAAGCTTTAGAGATGAATTAGTTCAACAGAATCTGCTTTTGTGAGTCATTTTCAAAAACGTTTTCATTACATTTATTTACTTACTTAGTGTGCATGAGTAGAGCATGTGTGGAAAGAAGTCAGGGAGCGACTTGGCCGAGGAGGGTTCTCTTCTTCCACCCTGTGAGTGAGTTCTGGGAATTGAACTCGGATCAGCCTCGGTGGCAGGCTCCTTCACCTGCTGAGTTATCTCGCCATATCCTGCCTTCGATAATTCTTACAACTCCTACAATATTTTAAGGATAATTTGTGCATCAGTAATTATAGCGATAAACTGACAGAATAAAGCAATCTAACACTCAGAGACTTATAGCGAAAGAGAAAGTTGTTTTTTTTTTTTTTTTAAGCCGAGAAGATACCTTTAACAAACAAAAAAAAAAAGGTTAAAGGAGCTGGGCGGTGGTGGCGCACGCCTTTAATCCCAGCACTTGGGAGGCAGAGGCAGGTGGATCTCTGTGAGTTCAAGGCCAGCCTGGGCTACAGAGTGAGTTCCAGGGCAGGCACCAAAGCTACACAGAGAAACCCTGTCTCGAAAAACCAAAAAAAAAAAAAGAAGAAGAAGAAGAAGAAGAAGAAAGGGCCGGGGCTCAGTTGGTAAATTGCTTGCTATTCAAGCATGAGAGCAGCCCTGGGGCTTACTGGCCAGCCAGACTTGCTAAGTGGGTGAGTTCCGGCAGATAACTTCTTTTAAAAAATATTTTATCTGTTCTTGACAACGTCTGTACATGCACACAGTGTATTTTGTTCTTATTGTTCCCCGACTTCTACCTCCATGGGGTCAGTTCGTCATAGAAGTGGAATAGAAATCCAGATTCAGAGGGAGAAAATACGGTAAATTGATGACTGTGAACTTGAGTAGTTTTGAAATAGCTCCTAGGATACCGAATCACAAGAGTAACTAAGTTACAATAAGTTCAGTATTCAGACTATGCCAGGTATTGATAATATCATTTGTGAGTATTCCAGTATGGTCCCGAAAGATTATTATAAATACTTGTTCTGAAAGTTTTTGGTTGTGACTAAGAACTTTATACTGCACAGTGAGGCGAGTGTACTTGAACTAAGGAGGGGATATATGCAAGAAAAATTGAACGCTTACCTCGGAGCTCTTGAAGCCCTTTAACTTTCGTATTTGGGTTAGAAAAGCACACCTTTTAAAATTTCAGGCCCAAACCACAGAAATGAAGTTCTAGAAACAACATCTCAGGTTTGAAAGACTAGCTTCCTCCTAGTTCTGTAGCTGGACCTGTGACAGACCCTGCAATACCCTCGCACAGTCACAGCTACATGCTCCATCCTCGAGATGTCACTGGTCGCCCTGACTGAAGGACAACATCTTCTCTGTTGCATTTCCCAGGATGAAGGAGCTGTGATCTCGCAGATCTCAGACATTTCCAATAGGGACGGCCACGCTACTGACGAGGAGAAACTGGCGTCCACATCCTGTGGTCAGAAGTCAGCCGGAGCAGAGGTGAAAGGTGAGCCAGGGGAAGACCTGGGGTACTACTGTGACTCTTCCGATGTTCCCGTGTCTATCATTTGCATTTTCATCCCCAGAAGCGGGCACAGAAGCATAGGCACGCTGCAAGGCCCGTGGCAGTCACCCGAGGGACAGTTAGGGCACAGATCTGTACTTGGTTCTTCTCTGTAACAGACACAGAAGTGCTTAACACAGTCCTGGGCACAGGGAGAAGTGTGGAGGGTGCCCAGGGGATGGCAACTGAATTTCTCTCTCGTTTCGCATCTGTACGGTCAGTCTTAGAGTGGCCTGTAAATACGTCCTGCGTGTGGCATTTGGGGTTTGTCGTGCGCATTGTTTGGGTTGTGGTACTTGCCTGTGGCGGCCTCACTTTAGCGCTCTGTCTGGCCTTGCTCTCGCTCTGCTCAGAGAAGCGACGTTGCTAAGCACGTTGACCAGGTCACCTGACGGGCCCAGGAAAGCATCTTGGTCCTGTTTGGCAAGGTTGATCGCTGAGACCTGTGTAGCCAAAATGAGACCCAGAGAACAACACCAATTTATACCTGAGGGTCTTTTTGATGGTTTCTGCCTCTGCGGTGATGGGGTTTGAACCCAGGGCTCTTGTGTGTGCCAGGCAAGCCCTCTGCCACCGAGCTGTATCACAGCCCGTGGTTTTGTTGAGTCAGACTTGCTGTGTAGCCCAGGCTGGCCTTCAGTTCAGTACCTTCCTGCGTAGCCCAGGCTGGCCTTCAATTCAGTACCCTCCTGCCTCTCTCAGTTGAGTATTGGGATTACAGGTGTATATCACCAGGCCCCCATTAAAGTAAGTTCTACAAAGTACAAGAAGACCCTTCTAAAACGAAGGCCAAATAAACGGAAAAGTATAGGGTTTGGTCTTAGTTTTCAGTCAATCATTCCTTCATTCAGTTTTTAAGACGAGGTCTAGCTCTATAGCCCTGGCTGGCCTTCGACACTTACGTGGATCAGACTGGCCTCACCTGTGGAGTGGTCCTCCACCCTGTGCTTCCCAAGGACTCAGGTGACAGGCTTATGCCACCATGCCGTCCGTGTCTTAGGTACTTTTCTGTTGCCGTGACAAAACGCCACAACCAAGGCAACTGATAAAAGAAAGCGTTTAGTTTGGGGGCTCGTGGTTCCAGAGGGTTAGTGTCCATGACCGTCATGGCAGCAGGTAGGCTTGGCGCTGGAGAAGTAGCCGAGAGCTCACGTGTTGAGACAACAGCCACAAGGCAGGGGGTAGCGGGGACTGACTAGGAATGGCTGGACTTTGAAAACCTCAAGGCCCACTCCCAGGGACACACTTTTTCCAACAAGGCCACACCCCCTAACCCTTCCCACACAAACAGTTCCACCAGTTGGGAACCACGCATTCACTATATGAGCCCACAGAAGCCCTTCTTTGGGCCTTCCACTTCCACTCTGGCCCCCAGAGGCTTGCAGCTGTATCATTATGCAAAAATGTATTTCGTTCAACTTCAAGAAAGGCCCCGTAGTCTCCCAGTCTCAAGGCTTTAAAGTCCAAAGTCTCATCTGAGACTCAAGGCAGTCTCTTAATTGTAACCCCCTGTAAAATCAAAAAGCAGATTACATACTTGAATATACAATGCACAGAATATACATTATCATTCCAAAAGGGAGGACTGGGGCCCAGCGAGGAAAAGGCAAACTTGAAATCCTGTGCCTCTGTCCGATACCAGAGGGTTTTGCTGGCCCTCCCCTGGCAGCATACTTCTCCTGGGCTGGTTCCACTCCCTGTCTGCAGCGCTCCTTGGCAGGGAGCCCGCGCCTGAGGCTTCTCCAGCATCTTGAGGTCTCCAACACACCCAGGCTTCACTTTCACAGCTTCACAGAGGCCTCTCAGAGCCTCCAGGCAGGGACTGTCCTGCCTCAGAGCTGACCTTAACCTTTCCTTAACCTCAGAGTTAAGATTACACAACCCCCTTACTCCCGTATCCTTCAGGACTCTAAAGCCAGAACCATGTGCCTGTTGATGCCAAATTCTGCCTCTTGCTTAGAACGGCACCTGCCCCCTCTTTGAATTACATCAGCATAAATAAGCATTTATTTATTGGTGCCTTTCAGGAACACGTAATTCCTTAGGCTTTTTCTTTTCATAGATTGCAGGATTAGCTGGCTGGGGTCTCACCTTGAGGGCATCATTCCCTTTATCTCATTTCTCCTTCTCTCTTTGAGCACAGACCATGGCTCCAGCATTAAATTTCCTGGTGCTAAAATGTGAAGTGACTCTTCCCACCTGATTAGGCTGCTGTGGTAGGTGGAGACTGACCAGCACCTGTGAAATCCTTCATGTCCTCGTCAAGAACTGAGACTAGCCTGGCCCAGTGCCTCTCACCATAGATAGGACTCTTAATCACTCCGGAAGAAGGACCCTCATTAACGTCCCATGTCACAGTGTGCTCTTAAATTTTGTTCACTGAAAGTTTAGAACTGTGGTCCTGACAACAGACATTATTAAAGTGTAATTTGTGAGATTTTATTTAGAGATTTAAAGGTCATGACCCGTCACTAACCCTGGGAAGCTGGTAGAAAGTAAAAACTGAACACATACACATACACACACACACACACACACACACACACACACACACACACACACACCTGCCACAGTTTGCATTTGTGGTAATCTCTGTGCTGTGTCTGATGCCTGAGATGGTCAGCTTTGCAGAGAGGAGAGGTGTACATTAGATTGTGGTTTAAAAGTGAGACAGATTAGCCGAACTGTCGTGACACATTCACGTCGGTGTTGTAAGTGTTGACTGAAGCAGTATTTAAATATTGCAACAAGGAGATTTTTAGCTTTGTGTTTTGTGTGCTTTTCTAAGTTGTAAATTTTCTTCAGGGATATATATAGGCCTGTCTGTCCAGGCCCTGATCCACCACCGCCTAAAACAGAAAAATAGGCCTGATGGACGACAAGGAGACCAGTTAAGATGGTCAAAACTAGGTTTTCAGGATTGGATTTCAGGCCATTTTATCTGCTACATGAGCTGAGAGTGTCCTCCTGAGCCAAAATTTAAATGTGCTCAGATTGAGGAATGAAGTAGGATTCAGGGTTTGTTTCCCGTTTCTGAAATTGGTTCTTTAGTACAGCTCTGCTAAATTCCCAGTGGACACAAGGGGGCAGACTTCCCATTGCTTCTGCCTGAGGGTTGACAGCTGGGGCTGACTCTGGAAGCCTCTCTTGTTGAGGACTTTTAACACCAGAGTTCAAGAAAGAATGCGAGCGCACGTCTTAGAAATCCTGAAGTTCTGGGTTCTGTTGTTCTAAGCCTGCACTGGAATTGCCTAGCCTTCACCAGGAACAAGGGACCCGTTCCTCGGGATAAGTATAAAAATGACTTTCTCTCTTTCAGGCGTAGAGAAGGAGACATGCCAGAAGACGGAGAAAGAGGAGTCAGCTGTGCATGTAAGTTCCCAAACTCGGAGGGGTGGGAGTAGCCTTTGTTTCTTTTGGTGTTTGTTTAGGAGCCCACACTAACAGAAGTAAATTCTAGTTACTATTAGGTGATGGAGGGGGAAGACATGTCTGGCTGGCTGGATGCCTTAGCAGGTAAAAGTGCTTGCTGCCCAAGCCTGACCACCCACATAGAGGTGGTGGCAGGAGAGAATGGACTCCAGAGTTGCCCTTTGACCTCTGTCTGCACGCCATGGTGCCCATGCTCACACTCATACTTGCATACGTAGTATATACAGTTTCTTCATCTGCAGAACTTACCTTTTGTGCATAATATTCTTTACACCAACCACTAGCCCCATGTGACTGTGTGGACAACTTGAACTGTGAGTCTGAATGGAAATGCCTTATATACTGTGAAATACACTCAGCCTTTGAAGACCGAGTACACAAAAGGGGCATAGTTAATGTCTCAGTGACTTCTAATAAGGTAACAATTCGGATATGTTAAGTGTGCTGTTAAAATCAAAGCTGGGCTGGTCGCTCACACTTCACTAACATCCTGGTACTTGGGAGGCTGAGGGACGAAGACGGCCCCAAGTTCTAGACCATCCTAGATTACTTACACAGCAAGTAAATGGGTTACTTTTCCATCGCTGCGGTGGAACACCATGAACAAGGCACCTCGTGGAAGAAAAGGTTTCTTTGGGGCTTACAGTTCTAGAGTCCATGATGGCGGAGCAGAGTGGAAGTAGCAGGAGGCAGGCAGCTGGAGCTCACAAGCTGGAGACAGTCCACTGGGGATGGCAGGAGACTTTTGAAGCCTCGGGCCCTCCCCCTAGGGACACACCCCTGCACCAAGGCTATACCTCCTAAGCCTTCCCAAACAGCCAAATGGAAACCTCATTGAGTTTTAGCGTTGCTCCACTGACCTCCTCCTTCTGGTATCAGCTCCAGCTGAGTCTTCTTTAATCTATGCTGGTTCCTCAGTCTTTATTTGTCTACAGAGGCCTTGATAGTTTTTGTTTTCATTTTGGGACAAGGTTTCTCCATGTAGCCCTGGCTGTCCTGGAGCTTGCTATGTAGACCAGGCTGGCCTTGAACTCACAGAAATCCTCCTGCCTCTCTTCCAGTGCTGGGGTTAAAGGTGTGTGCCATCATGCTTGGCTGACCTCAACAGTTTTTGAGAATGATGTCCACTTACTTTTGTGTGTATATATTTGTGTTTATATGTGCATATATGTGTGTTTACATGTGTGTGGGTGCACATGCATGTGTTTGCATATGCCTGTAGAGGCCTAAAGTTGATGTGAGAAATTTTCTTTTCTTCTATTTATTTATTTATTTTCTAGGCAGGGTTTCTCTGTGTAGCTCTGGCTGTCCTGGAACTTGCATTGTAGACCAAACTGGGCTTGAACTCAGAGATCCACCTGCCTCTGTCTCCTGAGTGCTGGGATTAAAGGTGTGCGCCACCACCGCCTGGCTGATAAGAGGAGTTTTCATCCATCATTTTACCCCCTTATTCTTTAGAGACAGACTCCACCAGTTAAACTTAGAACTCACAGATATGGTTGGTTAGTCTGGCTAGCCAGCTTGCTCTGAGAATTCCCTGTCTCCACCTCCCAAGTCTAGAGTCACAGTCCTGAGCTGCCCTGCCCACCTGGCTTTTCCTTGGGCTCTGGTCAGCCAGACTCCAGTCTTCTTGCTTACAGAATGACAAGCACTTGCTGGCTGAACCCTCTCCCCAGCCCCTGGCCGTTATTTATAGAACATTTTCAGTTTGTGGTCCTCTAGTGTTTCTTCATGATTAAGCTAAGTTTATCTGCTTTTTGTACAGATAGAACAGAAGTGACAATGTTTGTGTCCATGTGTCCCTTTCTTGGTGGAGTGTTTTTTTTTTTCTCTTTTGGGGGGCCCACCATCCAGCTCCCAAATAAATCACACATGGAAACTTATTACTTATAAATGCTCAGCTTTAGCTTGGCCGGTTTCTTGCAGCTTTCCTTAAATTATCCCATCTGCCTTTTGCCTCTGAGCTTCTCCATTCTCTTACTTGTGTAAATCTTACTCTTACTCCATGGCTTGCTGTGTAGGTGGGTGGCTGGCTCCAGGAGTCCTCCTCCTTCTCTGACTACTTCTTTTTCCCCCAGATTTCTCCTTCTCTATATTCTGACTGCCTGCCAGCCCCACCTATCCTTTCTCCTGCCTTGCTATTGGCCGTTCAGCTCTTTATTAGACCATCAGGTATTTTAGACAGGCACAGTAACACAGCTTCACAGAGTTAAACAAATGCACCAGAAACAAAAGTAACACACCTTAAAACAATATTCTACAACAGTGGAGTTAGTCATGGCCACTTGCGTTTAGATGGCATCTATCAGGTTCCTCCATTTGAGTAAGTGTTAGAGAAGGAAAGATTCTTGGCAGATGAGGTCGTCTGCAATCCAGGTAGGACAGTTGGTTTGTGCAAAGGAAGAGGAAGTGAGAAAAAAAAGCATACATTTTACAACAATTGTGAATAATCCCATGCAGTTGCATATGGCCAGCAAGGACTAACCCGTCGGGGCCACAGACACCCTGCTAGGAGGTTTGGAGTTCCTAGTAGGGTTGTGGAATTGAGTGGGGAGCAGCCTTCAGAGGAGGGGAGGGGGGTGGAGAGAAATCACCCAGCGGTGCTGTTTGGGCTTCAGTGACAAGCATGGTGGCTGCAGTGTGGATCATAACCAGAACGACATTGGCGAGGTCAACTCCCAGTTCTGCTCCTGCAGCCGCAACTGTCAGAGCGACCAGAGGAGCCTCCTTACCAAATGACGCCGCTGTCCACTGCGTTGTCTGAGCCTTGAACCTGTGTTGTTCCCTCCTCTCTCACAGGCAGGGTCACTGGTTTCTGTGTTCAGAATTCAGGGAAAATTTACCTTCTCTTCTTGAGCCCGTAGCCCCTACCAGTCTTTTAAAAGATGACAGCAGATTTTTAACTAGTCTCCCAGTTTCTAGACTTGGTGATACACCATAGCTTTAAAGGTGTATAATGAAAGTATAATACATATTTGTGCATGTGCATATCGCTATATGTGCTTTTAGAGACAAGGTCTCTCTAGGTAGCCCAGGCTAGCCTGAAACTAGCAATGCTGTGTCTTCGCCTGAATGTGTCGCTGCTGGGATGCACCGTCACGCCTAGCTTTCGGGGTAATGGATTTCTGTATTTTAAACCCCAAGCTGGCCTTGTTTCTCATGGCTTTGCAGTGTCTTTCCTTCTCTTAGGATAGGTTCAGATTCGCTGTGGTGGACAGGAAGGGTGCAGTGTCTTCCCTCCCTCCCACATTGGGTGCTAGCCTGCCTGTGTGGAGTTTCTTTGATCTCTGTGAACCTGTCTTTGAATCATGTGTTTGCCCCCCTGCCTTCTCTGTAACACCGTAAGGTTGGTGAAGGTAGGGACCATGGCTTTCCTGTGGGCTGCTGTACCCCGTGCTTATTCCTATAACATTGTTGAATGGAGGGATTACTCAGGACCCAGGCAGAGGGAAGAGTGGAACTGTGTGGTTTTTATAGATCTGTGGCTCTGAGGAACCCATCTCCCAATCCATGTGTCCTGTAGGCAGTAGTATCTAACGTGAGCTCATGCCAACTCTGAGTTAGGTTATGAGGGTCCTCAGGACACAGGTGGTGGTTGAGTAGGCAAAGTGTGAGCGAACTACTGTAGTTTAAAGTAGATGAAAGCACACGAGAGTAGTAGAAAGCACACGAGTATAGTAAACTTTCATCTACTTTAAACTTAACGCGTGAAACATGCCTGTAATCCCAGCACTCAGAGGCTGAAACTGGAAGATCAGGAGAGTTAAAGGCTAGCCCAAGCAACTTAGTAACACCCTGCCCCAAATAGAGTTTAAAAGGACTCAGGATGTAGCTCAAAAGTAGAGGTCACTTTCCACACACGTGAGAGTGCAAAACCAAGCACAAGAACATGTCAAGTTTTGACCGATGTACAATATGGTGTAACACATGTGTTTGTGTATTCATAAAGCGATGCACAATTGTCTCTCTTCATGTGGTTTCCCCCTGATAATTTCCTGGAGGTTTTGGTATGTGTGCAGATTTTCTCAGTACTCAGGACTGAGCCACGGCCCACGGTATTTGCCTAGAGAACGGAGCTGCCTACCCTCTTGCACTGCTGGAGGAAGAGCTTCTGCATGGCAGGAAGTGGGAAGGCAGAGCACCCGGGCACAGGAGGAATGAGAAGCACGGCCTCTCACAGGGTCTCACTCATTAGCGACTGGTTTCCAGACAGAAACCGTCTTTGCTTAGAAACCGATGGCATCCTTGGCTTCCTGGTGTCTTAGGTCATGGAGCCCAAAGCAACCACAGCTGGGGCAGGGCTGAAGCCTCCGTTTCCTCATTCCTGCTGTCCATACCTGTGAGAGGAAGACTCTTGAGTTACAGAACAGCTCGGCTGGATAGCTTAGGAAGCCAGTTCCTTTGAAAGTTTCCCCAGCATGACAGGAGCACTTCTTAGGCTCTTCAGGCTACAGTTATCGAATGGAGAGGGCCTTCATCTGTCTGATGTAGTCAGGTGCCTCACTCAGCCCTTGAAGTGACGGGTTGGGACTCCCAGCGGTGCCTGGCTGCCTCGGGGAGAGTGGTGAGGGACAAAAGGAATGACAGGGTGAGGGGCTCCAGGGGATCAGGTGGCATTCTGATAGGAAAGGGGGGAAAAAAACGGATGGAGAGAAGCCAGCTGGGGAAGACTGGCGCGTTTGTCGTGACCTCTTAAAAGCAAGGCCGTATAAACTTAGTGTGAATTAGTCCCCACTCCTTGTGATGTTAACCTTATGGGGAGAACTCTCAGTTGAAGACTGAGGGCATAACTTAGAGGTAGAAGACTGCCTAGCCTGGGCAAAACCTTGGGTCCATCCCCAGCACTACAGAAAGGAAAGGAGTCGTAAATGTATGATCTATGTTTATCTCTAAGCCTGCCTGTGTTGAGTGTCTGGTGTAGACCCCTGCCTGGTACCAAGTGGTGACCAAGGCCACCTGTTATTACGTTGTGAGGATTAAGTCCGTCACTCGGCAGCGTTTTCCACTTAGGACTCAGCTATTTATTTATTTATTTATTTATTTATTTATTTATTTATTTATTTATGGTTTTTCGAGACAGGGTTTCCCTGTGTAGCTTTGTGCCTTTCCTGGAATTCGCTTTGGAGACCAGGCTGGCCTCGAACTCACAGAGATGCACCTGGCTCTGCCTCTCGAGTGCTTGCTGGGATTAAAGGCGTGCGCCACCACCACCCGGCTATTTATTTATTTTTTAAAGAAGTCTTAAAACTTGTTAAAAGTTGAATTCTTCGGGCTTTTCCGAGCAGACCTCTAGTAGAGCAGTGGCGGGGACTTGGGGACAAATGGGACAAGCAGTCATCGTGGCACAGACCGGTTACTGCTGGTGCTCCCAGGCAAGGGCCTCCTCCTCCATGGCGTCCCTGCTGACTGCAGATTGTGATCAGGACGGTAGATAGAGCTTTGCTGCTCCTCAAGGTGTTGGAAGAAGTCTAGTGCAGTTTAGTAAAGCTGGACCCTTTTTAGAAGGGTGCGATTGGTTGGTTGAGGTCTTTGGGCATATGTCTTCCTGTGTGTGGAGTTGTGTGTATCTGTTTTGTGCATGTGTCTTCCTGTGTGTGGAGTTGTGCGTATCTGTTTTGTGCATGTGTCTTCCTGTGTGTGGAGTTGTGTGTATGTGTTTTGTGCATGTGTCTTCCTGTGTGTATGGGGTCTGTGTCTATGTGGGGAAGGGTTCATGTGGAGGCCAGAAGAGTACTGTATATGTCATTCATCAGGGGCTGGGCCACCTTGTTATTTGAGACAGGCTCTTTCTGTGGCCTGCTGCTTGCCAAATAAGCTCAGCTGGTTGGCCCGTGGGTCCCAGAGCTGCTCCTGCTTGGACAAGCGTGTACCACTACAACCAGCGTTCTTACGTGGGTTCTGGGTCCTCGTGCTGAGGAGGCAGACACTTGACTGACTGAACTATCATCTCTGGCTGAATTCGAGCATTGTATTAGACATGTACTAGGTTCTGGTGCAGTCCTACAAGAGACTTGCCAGTCCTCTCTGAGGGCAGGTCTGAAGGCTTTACACTGGTTGTTAATAACGAGGGCGAAGTGCCGTCAAACTCCAGTCCTAGAGGACAGGAAAGGGTAACTAAAATGGGCCACAGCGTGAATTCCTGCCCTGATCACCTCAGGAGAATTGTATTTGAATAGCTACACTCACACGCACTTGGAGGTTGAGAGTGTTTCCAGGTCACTTTGGCTGCCATTTTGGTTGTTAGGTCACACATACACAAAAACCTCACTTTCCTAGGTTTGAGGAAATTGCTTTGAAAAATAAAATGCTTTTGGGAACACCAACATACCAACCAAACATGGCTCTTTAGAACTTTAGCTGTCCTGGAAGTAAACTAGTGTACCAGAAGGCCAGAGGCCGCTGAGAAGGAATTCCAGACTCGACTGCAAACTGAACTGCTCATTAACCTCTCTGTTCTCAGAATTCACCTACCCACAGGTTTTATGTTGTATCTGGCCCCTTTGTGCAAGGGTTAATGTGGGTGTGTGCTTGAGATCATCACCCAAGCTGAAGTCCTTAGCCATCCTGAGTCAGGCAAAGGTCAAAGGTCAGATAGATTCGCCACGTCTGCCCGCCTAGGCATGGAAGTTGGTAATAGGTGGTAGAATATTTTAAGGTGTGTTACTTATGCTTATGTTATGTTGCATTTGTTTAACGCTGTGTTACTGTGCCTGCCTAAAACACCTGATGGTTGATAAAGAGCTGAGCAGCCAATAACAAGGCAGGAGAAAGGATAGGCGGGACTGGCAGAGAGGATAAATAGAAGGAGAAAACTGGGAGAAGGGGATCTAGATCTAGCAGCCAGAGGAGGAGGAGGATTCCTGGGGCCAGCCCCCAGCTACACAACCAGCAAGCCATGGAGTAAGAGTGAGATTTACAGAGGAAAAGAACTGGAAAAGCCCAGAGGCAAAAGGTAGACTGGATAATTTAAGATAAGGAAAGCTGGCAAGAAACTAAGCCAAGCTAAGACTGGACATTCATAATTAAGAATAAGCCTCCATGAGTGATTTATTTGGGAGCTGGGCGGTGGGCCCCCAAAAGAGCAAAAACCTCCAACAGCAGTAATACATGTTAGAAACTTTGCCAAAATGGTTAAACAGACATACACAGCATCCATATATGATTGGAAGGGTTCTCACTGTTGTTGAAAAATTATTTGCATAGGACATATCCCCAGAAAATGCCACAAAAAAATGAGATATTGAGACGTGTTTCTTTTCTCTGGTAACTGACCACTTGGCATTTACACTCTTTTCCTTCTCATGAGAAGAAAGCTTTCTTATGTTTTCCATCCCTCCAATATAAGCCAACCCCAGTAGTCATTAGAACCTCTTCCTTTAGTTAGTATTATAACTAGATTGCTTGTTTAAAGCTACCCTTTTCTCCTGGTTCTTCTGCAAGCACATTTTAAAAGAATTTGATCTGTTTTGTGGTGAGGAAGTTGTTGAGGGATATTCAGGGTTAAGCTAGAGGCTGACCATGTTAAATGCAAATTCTGTCCCTCAGGGAGCGCTGGAGTCCTCTTCAGAAAAGGCCCCCGTGTCGGTGGCCTGTGGGAGTGAGAGCCCCCTGGATGGGATCTGCCTCAGCGAAGCAGACAAGACCGCCGTGCTCACGTTGATCAGAGAAGAGGTAAAGGTCTCTTTCTGTGTGCAGAAGGCCCCATCTCTGCTGACTTGCCTCACCTTAGCCTGCAGGTTCCTGTTCTCTGTAGCTCGTGTGGCTCCCATAAAGGGGTTTCTGTAGACTTGGGTGTTGGTGCTGGTGTTCAGCGAGGTGATGCACTGGGGTGTTGGTAAGACTGTGTACACTGAGGTGACTGAAGGAAAGCTGTGTCTGGTCAGTGGAAGCACACAGGGTAGCCCCTGCATTCTTTTATTTTTATGTGTATTCCAAAGGAGCACCTGATCCCTCAAGCTGGAGTTACAGGCAGTTGTGAGCTGCCATGTGGGTGCTGGGAACTGAACTCAGGTCCTCTGCAAGAGCAGCCAGTGGTCTTAACCTCTGAGCCATCCTTCCACTCCTCCCTCTCTCTCTCTCTCTCTCTCTCTCTCTCTCTCTCTCTCTCCCCATATATATATGTATGTTCATATATATATATAAAATGTTCATTGGTGTTTTGGCTGCACGTGTGATGGTGTGAGGGTGTCACATCCCCTGGAACTAGAGTTACAGGTGGTTGTTAGCTGCCATGTGTGTGCTGGGATTTGAACCTGGGACCTCTGGAAGAGCAGCCAGTGCTCCTAACCACTGAGCCGCCTCATCTCCCCAGCCCCCATCTCTATATTCTTGAGACCCCTCATATACGCACAAAACCAGAAGATGTACCAATTAGGAAGAAGGGAGAGCCCGAGGCATTTAGTGAGAAGAGGGCTCTGGGCGCCCGTTCAAGCCCTGTGCAGGGCGAACAGAATTGAGAATCAAGAATGTCTCAGATAGGAAATGGGGTTCTGGTCCGAATAGCAGGATCTGCCTGTACTGATGGATCACACAGTGGGATGCACCCTGAGCCCCTTCATTCTGACTCCACTCTTATCGAGTGCTGAGACACCACTACAGACAGGAATGTAGTAGTGCATTTTTTCCGCACGTGGGTGGCTGAGGCAGGAGGATCACAAGTTCAAAGCTGACATGGATGCACTCTCTCTTAAAATAAAGACAAAAAATTCAGAAGAGTTGCAAGTACCATTTAAATGTGAGGGAGCTGTGCTGATCACCTGACCTGGTGCTGGCTGGGCACTGTGCTGGTCACCTCACCTTACACTGGCTGGGCACTGTGCTGGTCACCTGACCTGGTGTGACTGTATCCCAGCACCCTGTGTAGCTGAGAATGTGCTTTCCCAGATGTTTATGAACATTATATACAAACATTGCAGTGTACTGTATTCCTAAATGTTAATTGATCATCTTGTGTCAGACTCGGTCATGTGTTATATTTCAGTTTCCAGTAGATTGATGAAGTAAAACAGACCTTTCTTATAATCTAGATAATCACTAAAGAGATTGAAGCCAATGAATGGAAGAAGAAATATGAAGAGACCCGAGAAGAAGTCTTGGAGATGAGGTTAGCCTGGTGCCCGGGTGGAACATGGATGCCTTTGTGCTCTGTGGGTTCAGTCAGCCATGTTATCTTGTCACAAAATCAGTGGCTGACAGTGTGAGGGCTTTGCTCTTTGCACCATACTCTGAGGTAAAAAATGTCTGTGCAGTCTGGGCATGGTGGCACACACCTTCAATGCTAGTACTCTAGAGACTGAGGCAGAGGCAAGTGGATCTCTGAACTTGAGGCCAGTCTAGTTTACTTACCAAGGTCTAGGATGGCCAGAGCTACATAGAGAGGTCCCATCTCCAAAAAGAAGGAAGTCAGAGCTGGTATGGACTAGCTATTTTTCAAATACCATAGCTTCTTTGGGTTATTTACAACATCATGTGCAAACAGAACTCATATAATTCTTAACTTTTTAAAGAATGTCAGAAGTCTATTTAAAAATATCCATTTGCATTAAAGAGTAATACAGTTTCCTGATACATTCGATGATGGAGGTGTTGAGATTAGTAAATAGAAATCTTTTAGCCATGATGATGGTGGTGGTTGTGGTGGTGTTTCAATCTCAGCACTCTGGAGACTGGGGCAAGAGGACTACCACAGTTTGAGGCCAGCCTGGGCCCCACAACAAGTTCCAGACCAGTCAGGGCTACACATTTGTCTCAGATTTGTGCCCCCCCCAAAAGAAACATTTTTGTCTTTTTCCTGTCCAGTCTAGAAATTTATATGAGTCATTACATTACTAAAGATAACCTCAAAGAAGAGGAGAAAGCATAATCCTCCCCAGCGAGCACCAGAGTGCAGACGAGATATTTTAAACATGACCACTGTGATTGGTGGCTCCTGTGTTATGTGGTTTGGGAGGACTTCCTGGTTGGAGGCCCAGCGCTGGGCTTCGAACAGCCTTGCTGTTAATGAGCGTCCAGTAGCCACCATAAGGACCTTGAGTGCAGAGTCCAGCTTGGTGGACGCACCAGGAAGGGGCAGCTGCAGGGAGGATCACCCAGCCCTGGGTCGGTCAGAATAACCAGGCTTCACTGAGAGAAAGGCCAGCTCGAGGGCATGATCGTCAGAATCTCCAAAAAGTAAAATATTTGTGGGAGGAGGACACAAGATCAAACTTGGAACTGAACCAGAGGAGAACAGTGCTTGGAAAGGTGGATGGGCCAGGAAAGACAGAAGTCAGAGTGGATCTCATAGGAGGGGCTCTGAAGAACGTCTTTAATTTAAAAAGGTTGTCTTACAGTATTTAAATAGAAAAAAGTGAAGACAGTTGTTTTTACAAAAGGCTTATGTTCTAGCCGGTCTTCTGTTGCTGTGAAAAACACCATGACCAAAAGCACCTTGGGAGAGCGAATGGTTTCGGCTTACACTCTCAGGTCTTGGCCATCATGAAGGGAAAGTCAGAGCAGGAACTCAAGCAGGAACCAAGGAGGCATGCTCCTTACTGGCTTGCTCAGCTGCTCAGCCCGCTTTCTTTTTTTTTTTTTTTTTTTTGGTTTTTCGAGACAGGGTTTCTCTGTGTAGCTTTGCGCCTTTTCCTGGAACTCACTTGGTAGCTCAGGCTGGCCTCGAACTCACAGAGATCCACCTGGCTCTGCCTCCCGAGTGCTGGGATTAAAGGCGTGCGCCACCACCGCCCGGCAACCAGCTCGCTTTCTTGCAGAGCCAGAGCACCTGCTGAGGGACGGCATGGGCTGCTCACAGTGGGCTGGGCCCTCCCACATCAATCAAGAGAATCACGGGAGGGCACGGGCCAGTGTGATCAAGACAGTTCTTCAGTTGAGGTTCTCTCTTCCCAGGAGACTCAAGGTTGTATCGAGTTGACAATTGAAATCTAACCAGTATATTCAACATGAGATTATCAAAAGCTTTTGGAGTTCAGGATGTAGCCCAGGGGTAGAGCGCATACTTAGCTTGTGGGAGCCTAGGGCTCCATTCCTAGCACCAAAGACATAAGCCTTCTTCATTTAATTTCCTTTCTTCCTTTTTAGCTTGTGCTAAGAACATTTAACGTTTCAGAACTTTACTAACCTTATGTATATAAGAAAAACCTAAGAAGGGAGACAGAGCGAAGATGTGGTTTATGTGCGTGTTGTTATCTGGTCATGAATTTGTTTCAGACAGTGGTCCTCTGACTTCAACTGCTTTCTTCCGATCACAGAACAAGTTTTAGTGTTAGGATTATAATACATTACTTTTTTTTCTTTTTAGGAAAATTGTGGCTGAATATGAAAAGACCATTGCCCAAATGATTGGTAAGGAAGAAGATTTTTTTGTTTGTTTTGTTTTGTGAGCATGGGCCATAGAACCTATCTGAGCCTGTTTGGATTGCCATAACAATAGACAAACACTTGTTTTTACAGTTTTACCCTTGTTTTTAGAGTTTTGGAATCTGTGGAGTCTAAGCTGAGGCTCTGGCAGATTCTGTGTCTGGAAGGGCCCATCACCCTCGGTGCCTTCCCACTTAATCATTACATTCTTCCTGGAGGAGATGGCTAGCTTTCTGAAGCCTTATTTTCTTTCTGTAGTTTTAAAGATATATTGATGTATTTGTACATGTGTGTGTGCGCATGTGCACGAGTGCGCTGCACAAGTTTACATGCACCAGGTGCCCATGGAATCTGCAGGAGGATTTCAGATCATCCGGAACTGGAGTCACAGATGGTTGTGAGCTGCCTAATGTGGGTATTAGGAACTGAACGCGGGTACTCGACAAAAACAATGCATGCTTTTAACTGCTCAGCCATCTCCCCAGACCCTTTCTGGCCTTTTCAAAGTGACCCGTAAAATTGTACATATTGTGGGGAACAGTGTGGTACTCTGTACATGAATACAGTGGCCAATGATTAAGCTGTTACAGCTAGCATTTCCGCTTCCTTAACCGTTTGTCATTTCAAGGCAGGTGAGTAGCACCCCTGCACTCAGGAGGCAGAGGCAGGCGGATCTCTGAGAGTTCGAGGCCAGCCTGGTCTACACATCAAGTTCTAGGCCAACCAGGGCTACATAGAGAGACCTAAAAAAAAAAAAACGACACTTGTCATTTCTTTGGGAACATTCGAATTCCTGTGTACTTTCTAATTCTTTATAAAGTATATAACAAATTCCGGTAGGTGGAAGCTGTCCTTCTTTATTATAGGACACTCAAACGTACTCTTCTGCCTTCTGATACTCATTCCCCAGCCGTCCTCTGTCCCTCTGTCCCAGCCTACCTTTCCAAGCGTCTCAGGACCACCATTCTGCCCTCCACACCTATAGGATGAGCTCATTTAGCCTCTGGGAACGTTTAGTCTTTGTCCTCCTGTGTCTGGCTTGTGTAATACGATGTTCTCTGGGCTGGGCTCTCCTTTCTATAGGTTCTGATTCTGTCTGTTCTCATGGCTTGTTTCTGTATGTTTTCTTACCACTCGGACCAAAATACATGATTATAATCGGAAGAGAAATGGCGTCTTTTGGCTCACAGTTTCCGAGAGTCCATTCTAGAGTCACTGGGCCCCATATGCTTGGACAGAACATGGTGTTGGTGGGAGTATGTGACCAACCAGAGAGCGGAGAGAAGCAAGATAATGCCCTTCAAAGACACCCTAGGGCAGCATTGAACTCACTGTGTAGTCCACGCTGGCTTTGAACTCAGCGTTTCTAGCTCAGTATCCCGAGGCCAGGCATGGCAGGTCTGTGCTCTGCACTTAGTGAGTCTTTTGTCCGGTGTGATGTGGTAGCTCGCTGCAGGTGCTGATCTCCCTCCTTCAGACCCAGCACAGAGCGCGTAGACAGGGTAACAGTGACCGATTTTCAGTACCGAGCTTCCAGACTTGTTTAGTTGCTGTTCTGAGGCTTGGCTCTTACATGACTCTATTCTGGCCTTGCAGCATTTAAGTACTGAGAAGATTTCCCCACTGTCCACTGATAGCAGATGATATAAGATTACTTTATCGTTTATTATCAAGCAAAATCCATGCACAAATATCACAAGACAGATGGGGAATCTGAACCAAGTCACCAGCCTCTGCTTACATTCCCCTGCGTCTTGTTCCTGACCAAAGCCCCCACCACGCATGCACATGCACACGCACGCAAATGCACACACACACACCTCCGCTCTGCCTTTTTTCCCCCATCACTGTTCATTCCCAATAAAAGCCCCACCTCTTGGACCAAAACGCTCCGTTCAATTGGCTAGCCAGCTGGTGACAGAATTCCTGTAACAGTCCGCACCACCAGCCTTCCCAGCCTGGCCTTGGCCCTGGCTGTCTGCTCTGTGCAGCTCCTATCCCCAGTCCCTGCTGGGTCCCTGCTCCAGTCTCTGCTCTGAGAGGCTTCTCTGTGAACACCAGCTCTGTCCCCACCCCGCGCATCCTGCTACTACCCCATCACTTGTCACAGTGTGTATCCTCCCATTAGACTGTGAGTTCCTGAGAGTGGGGACACCTAGGCCACATGCCCTTTTCCAGAGTTGCATTCACTTTGTCCCCTTTGACTTGTGGTTCTCAGAAGACGAGCAGAGGACAAGCATGACCTCTCAGAAGAGTTTCCAGCAGCTGACGATGGAGAAGGAGCAGGCCCTGGCTGACCTGAACTCTGTCGAAAGGTCCCTTTCTGATCTCTTCAGGAGATACGAAAACCTGAAAGGCGTGCTGGAAGGGTTCAAGAAGGTAGGCTGGCCTTCCGCCATGTCTCCTGTCAGAGTGATGGGCAGCCTTTTGTGTGGGGCTGAGGCTAGCCCGGCGCTTTCTTCTTGATCGTTCACCCTTTGATATTAGTAAAAGTAGAAGAGATCTTAGCTCACTGAACAGGGGCCAAGCTGTGTACTACGGGAGAAGTGAGTGGGATCATTCAGTTGTACTGTCAGAAGGATTGTGGAATTCTTTTCTTGGTAGGTCTAACGCAGGGCCTTCTATACGTGAGGTGCTTTATGACTTCAGGCTTGTGATCCTAACTAACATATTCAGGAAGCTGAGACAGAAGGATTGCAAAGCCAGAGCCAGGCTGGGTTGCAAAATGAGCTCTGTCTTAGAAAACCAAATACTAAAAATAAATAATTAATTAAAGATGGGGCTGGTCAATCATCTAATATAGGGATTGAGAAAGAAGCTGCATTAGGAAGTTGAAGCCCTGGGTAGCAATGCGAATTAGGACATGGAGAACCTCCATAGGCTTTCTTTATGGGGGCTGCACAAGCCTTTTGAGGTTGCTGTGGACTTTGAATTAAACACATCTCCATTAAGCAGGCTTTCCCGTAAAACAAAACAAAACCCCCAAAAGCCAACCCTTGGGGTACACTGGGCAAGAGAAACAAAGAGACTACATGTTTGTTTTGAATTTTCGCTTTGGAATAGAATGAAGAAGCCTTGAAAAAATGCGCTCAGGATTACTTAGCTAGAGTTAAGCAGGAAGAGCAGCGGTACCAGGCCCTGAAGATTCACGCCGAGGAAAAACTGGACCGGTAAGAGCTTGTAAATGTGCGCTGCACCTGCTTACTGTTGCAGGTGGAGGCGGACAGACGCTGTTTGGTCTGCAAAGTAACATGCTTGCACCTTTTGCTATCTGCATTCTTGCTTACGACTTCAGGGCACCTGCATGCTTGTGTGGGTGTGTGGGTGTGTTTTATTTCTCTACATGGTTAAAACATTAGAGTATAAAAAGGTGTGCATATGCACACACAGCATCCCTCTGTTTCTTACCTCTTTGGCTCATTAGTGTTGATATTCTGTGTTTTTCCTCAGACACACATGCTAACCCCCTTGGTTTATCTTTCCCAAATAAACTCAAACTCTCAGAGATCCAGCTGCCTTTCCATGTGCCACCATGGTCAGCTCCCATCCTCTTTTTTATTTATATATTTTTTTAAAGCTGTAAAGCAATACCGTATGTGTGTTTTATGAAAATGAGAGATTCTCTCCTTCCCACTCCTTTCTGGCTTCTCATCAAGGATTTGCTGCATGTCCTTGTGTTGTCCTTGTGCTTTTAGAAACTGCCCCAGATGGTTTGGTGTCCTTTAGTCGTTGTAGCTTTGAGATCTGTATCAAAACGGCCTGCAGATTCCCCTTCTTACTCACTAGCATATTAGAGCCACTTTCCAAGTCAGAACTCATGGCTCAGTCTGGTCCCTTTATTAAATGGCAGGATTTTTTTTTTTTTAAAGCTTCACTTACGTTTATTGTATGTGTGTGAGTGTTCTGCCTGCATGCATGTCTATGCATCACTTGCGTGCCTGGTGACACCCATGGAGACCAGAAGAGAGTGTTGGGTCCCTTGGAACTGAAGTGACTGTTGGTTGTGAGCCGCCATGTGGGTGCTGGGGATGGAACCCGGGTCGTCTGCCAGAGCAGCCGGGGCTCTGGACCACTGGGCCATCTCTCCAGCTCTGTAACTTTTCTTCACTGATGGACGTTTGCATTGGTTCATACACTCTCCCTGTTGAAAAGAGCTACATTAGCAGAGTCTTTCTGGGAAGTGAGCTAAAAATGGAACTGCTGTGGCCTAAGGCATGTGTATTTGTTTTCTTCATCCCCACACGATGGCCTCCATCTTTCCCACGGCACGTGATCCTGTCTTTTTGCATTCTTAGGACAAGACCATAAACTGCACTGTTTGACCTTGATAGAACACCCACTTATCATGCAGGAGATTCTGGCTTCAGTCCCCTACACCTGCCACCTAAAAAGCTTATTTTACTTTGTATGTCTTTTATTGCTGGTGAAGTTTTAGCATCTTTTACCAATTAACCGGATGTTTACTAAGTGACATACTAATGCATCTCATTGATAAAGACACTCTTGAGGGCTGTAACTCACAGACATCAGTATCTCTTCTCTGTGTTTAGGGCAACAGTGTTGACAGTGGAAAAAACTGGAACTGTTACCTAGGAGAGCCTAAACAAGGCAGTGTTTAGCCCTGCAGTCTAATAAAAACGTTAGACTGACATGGGCGCTTTGATGTGGAGTTGCCTTTATACACCATTTCAGTGGGAAGGACATTTGTTGAATGACTCCCATATGATATGATCGTGTGCAGAATAACCCAGCCACCATTGTACCAACCCTTTAAAGTTAGGATTGTCATAAAAAAAATTCGGTAATGTCATTTTCCCATGAAATACAAATACAATACAAATACAAATACATTGCCGTCCTTGAGTTTGATCCTGCTGTCGGGATGTACCATGGAAATTTGTAAGACTTTGTTCTTTGGCTTTCCTCTCAGTTCTTTGGAGTCTGGGTTTTGTGGAAGTCGGTAGTCAGTGCCCTGAGTCTCTTTGTTCCTCGTGGCTGACCATGTGCTTCTTCTTCCTTCTGCAAACAAACCCAACCCTCCATCACAGAGCCAACGAAGAGATTGCTCAGGTTCGCTCCAAGGCCAAGGCTGAGAGTGCGGCTCTCCATGCTGGACTCCGGAAAGAGCAGATGAGGGTGGAGTCTCTGGAGCGGGCCCTTCAGCAGAAGGTAGGCGAGGGCTCTGTCGTGGAGGGTTCTTCTGGTTGACACAGAGACACTGGCTGCTCTCCTCCTCTGTGGCTCACTTAGCTTGCCATGGACCTGGAGGAAAGTGGCTTGCCCTTTTTACACAGACACTCCAGGCCAGCTCCTTTATGAGCCGATTCACAGGACACTCGTCACATTGTTAACCAAGGCTAAGGGGAGCCATCAACCATAGGCAGGATTCCAGGGGAAAGGTTGTGTTTTAGCTGGAGTTCAGGGGCTTGGACACTTAGTCACAAGCTTGCCTTTCATCCCCTCTGGTTTTGTATAGTACGTGAATCATCTTCTCTTCCGTTGCTATAAGTCATCAGTTTTCAGAGCCGACATGCCCTCTAGGGACACAAGGCCATGTCTAGAGACTAATTTGGCTGTTGTGACTGGGAGATGCTAGTAGCCCCGAAGTGGGTAGAGGCCAGAAATGCTGCCAGGCATCCTATAATGGACAGGATAGTCCAACTCATCAAATCTCGGCCCAACATAATGGATGCTGAAAAACTGTGGCAGAGAAATTGAAAGCGGAGATATAATGTCACCAGGCTCGGAACTGGCTGCTTGCCATTGGTCATGCCAGTGATGGCAGAGAGACGAGGTGTTGAGGTAACCTTGGAGGGCGCGTGCCCAAGCTGAGTTGGGAGTGCTTTATGGAGGCAGGTGTTGGGTACCAGCCTGAAGCCCGCCCTGGCTCCCACCCACCCTTGGTGGTGCATACTTGATCCTGTTCCTAATCCCCCCTCTCAGGATGCTCTTCCCTTCTACATACCACTTCCTCAGGGCATCTGTGTCCACGCTTGCCCCCTTGGAGTTACATATACATCTGGGTGGGTTGGAAGGGCAGCTGCTCCAGGGCCTCTTCTGATCCCTCACTACCATGGGAGAAGCCCTCCTTAATGCCCAGTCTCCATGACACCAGTTGGATTTCTCACTGCTCAGCGGGGTTCGGCCTTTCTCCTCCTTCAGTGTCTGACTCACTGTGTCGCCAGATGGGCGTTCATGCACTGATGCCCTTTGGCTCATGGCTTGTGTCTGGTGGCCCTGACTCAGGCTCTGGAATCTCAGGCCCTGAAGCTGTTGGTAGACGGAAGTGAAATCCATGAACTTGTGTGTCAGTAACTGAGCCGCTCGACAAGAGAACCCAGATGCTGAGGTTTATGGGCTGCAGACTCCCCTCTCCCTCAGCTCAGTGCCGTGCGGTGTCCTGAGCACACGTTGATGGATGGAACGCATTTGGTCTTCTGCCTCTGAGGACTGTGGTGCAGGGGGGCAGGGGGGGGACCTAGGAATGGCCCAGCCACTGACTTTTCTCTCAGAACACAAGGCGGCCTGCAAAAATCATCTCCTCTGTCTTTCAGAACCAAGAGATTGAAGAACTGACGAAAATCTGTGACGAGCTGATCGCAAAACTGGGGAAGACGGACTGAGGTTCCTCCCGAGAGCCGTGTGGATCGGAGTCTGGCTGCTTGTGTCGTGACCACAGTTATCTTGCCTTATCCAGAAGTAACCCCTCCTTTGCAGAGAAAGACAACTTTTTAAAAAGCACATGCCTGCTGCTGCCTCTCCCGCTTCACGGCCCCTGCCGCAGCTGGAGCCTGGCTGCTGGGGAAGGAACGACGGGACGCAGAGGCCCGCGCTCGCGTCCAGGCTGTCGCTTCCGTTAGACGGGCTGCTGGGTCCAGTGTGTGCTGCTCCATCTCCACTTCGTCTTCACCTTTCCCGAGTTTGTGAAGTTTCTAATTTTGTGGCGACTGTGTGGGATTATCTTCCCAGCACATATTTGATATTTTTATGACCTGGTTAATCTTTTAAAATTTCAATATCAGCGGTTTTATTGAAGGAGACAGTTTGGCCTATTGCTACTAACAATGAGACTCTGAGTTCCCTTTTATTTCCAGACTTTTACTCATGCATGTACCTCTCTACATGCCGCTGCTTTTTCCCTGAGGCGTATTCAGATAAGAATTTCTAGGGAGGAGCGTAGTCACATAAGTAAATACAGATCCTTCTTTCGAAACAGAACCCTAGGTCTAAAAGCCAGCTTCAGACTCTGAAGGGGCTGACGACATAGCCCTGTTGCTAGAGTGCGTCCTATACACAAAGGCCCTGGGTTTGATCCCCAGAACTACAAAAGCTGGATATTGTAGTGCATGCCTGTTATCCTAACACTCCCAAAGTGGAGGCAGGGGGGTCAGAAGTTCAAGGTCATCCTCAACTACATAGCCACTTGGAGGCCAGCCTGGGCTATATGAGACCATGTTTAAAAAGGTGTGAATGGAAGCATGGTGACATCTTAGCTTTTGGGAGACTAGGGCAGGAAAATCACTCGAACCTGGGATTTAAGGACAGCACCGCACTAGGCAGTGTAGACCTTTTCTTAGAAGTCAAACACCCAAACCAACACTTGAGTCAGGGTGGGGAGAATGGGGATATGAAGATCAGGGACATAGGTTTTGTGTCCAAGGAAGACGTTTGCTGCCCAGTACTGGACACCCCCAGGCCCCAGCATGGCCCTTTGTACTCACAATGAAAGTAGCCTCTCACATCCATGAACAGCAGCGTGGGCCTCCCTCAGAGCTGGCATTTGATGGATGTGTCCACCTGGGGGCAGTCTCTAAGACAAAATCAGCCATGGTTATCTATCTGAAACACACACAAAAGGGACTTGGGAAAGGGTCAGCTGATCTTGTTCACAGATCAGGGCATCCCTAAGGACCAGTTAGAGGGTGAAGGACTGGTTTTCTGTGTTTACAAGCATGGCACACTTCCGAGACTTCAAAACAGCAGCAAATGCTTTCATACTGGAGGTGGACTTTTAAACAAAACAGGCAATAAAAAGTCATGTGACTCATGCCCCAAATCAGCTGAATGCTGGGGAGGGCAGTGCAGGAGAAGGTCCGCACAGACAGAATGAAGTTCTGTTAACTCATACTGGGGGACCTTAACCCCCAAATAGAGATCTCCCACATTGATGCCAGTGAGTTCCTTTCCATTTGATAGGCAAAACCAAATCCATTCAAGTTTTCACGAATTTTTTGCCTTAATCTTCTACCCTGAGTTGTCGTGGTAAAAATGCACTATTCAGTACACATATATTTTCCTCCTTGTAAAACTGTTGCATGAGCCAACTCCAGAAATGAGCTGTGCCTCGTGGGGAACCTCTGTAGATCTTAGAAACAGTATCCCTTTAGCAGTGTGCTACCATGTGGGCGCAAAGCTTTTAGCCCTAGGGAGTGAGTAATGTCTTCTCAAGCTAGAAATCACATTTTGTCAATATGCATTTATTATAATTGGTGCTTAGGTTAGGCTGTATTTGGAGGCCTACTGTCTTAACATTTTGTACAAAAACAAACAGAAGTTATCTGGGGTTGGAGAAATGGCTTGACAATCATTGGGGCTCTGAATTTAGTCACAGTGGCTTAATGTGAAGGCTGTAGCTGTAGGAAATACTGCCAGCTTCAAGTGTCTTCAGGGGGCCTAACCAGCGTCCGCTTAGCTCTCTTCCACAAGAGGAGTCAATTTTGCATTTCGAGAAACACCGCAGAAGTTTCTGCTGCAGTGTTACGGTAGTATCTGTGTGTGTGTGTGTATGTGTGTGTGTGTGTGTGTGTGTTTTGTAATGGCTTTTCTTTTCAGTCTGAAAGGCCTAGAGTGGTCTCCATCATAAATCTATAGTCCTTGTTTCCTGAATTTTTTATTTCATTTTATTTTTAAATTTTTTTTTTTTTTTTTTTTTTTTTTTAGTACTGGGAATTGTACCCAGGGTCTTGAACGTGCTAGGCAAGTACTTTACTGTGGAGCTACATCTCTGGCCCTGGCCCTCTTTTTAGGCTGGTTCCTCTACTGTATGTTACAGAGCCTAGAAGAGGCATGGTGACCGCCCTTTCCTGCCACACTGGTGGAAGAGACTCCTTGAAAAACAGGCCCTGCTAAATGAAGTTGCTGTACAGGGGACATAAAATAGTCCTGTAAGCAATATTTGCCAGTGGCCTCTTAGTCATCACCATTACCAGGAAATGTCCACAACTTCTGGCTTATGGATACTCTCCAACAAGCATAAAAATGTAGCTCGCCCAGCTGGCAAATTAAGAAAATATACCAGGCAGAGTAAAGTATATTTATTTTTCTTTTAATTAAATGAGCCCTAAAAAGGCTCTTAGCACTCTAGAGAGTAAAAATATAAAGTTTCCTTCAACACACGCTGGGGGCCAAATACTTGTTTGTTACTCAGTTAAAAGGGGGGACCAGGCCGGGCGGTGGTGGCGCACGCCTTTAATCCCAGCACTCGGGAGGCAGAGCCAGGCGGATCTCTGTGAGTTCGAGGCCAGCCTGGTCTCCAAAGCGAGTACCAGGAAAGGCGCAAAGCTACACAGAGAAACCCTGTCTCGAAAAACCAAAAAAAAAAAAAAAAAATAAAAGGGGGGACCAGGCATGGTGGCACACTCCTATAATCCTAGCATTCTGGAGGCACAGGCGGGGACCAAAAGTTGAGGCCTGACTGGGCTTTACAATGAGACCCTGTCTACAAAGACTTAAGAGCTGAGGGTGTGACTCAGTGGCTGCCTTTGCTCACTGTGTACAAGGCGTTGGTGTCAAGCCCCAGCTTTGTAAAAGTAAATAACAAAAAACTTCAAACACAAGGGTCGTGGATGCTGCTGGAAAGTGGTGTGGGAACATTAGGTGGTCTTGTTGAGACTCTTCAGCACAGACCTAAAATGAGTTCTACTTTGCCAAAGTGTCGACAGCTTTGACCTGTCAGTATCGCAGCTTACCGTGCGGTTACTCTGTTTGGAGACTGGTCACTTCCCTAAATTTTGTATGCTGTGTGCTTGGCGCGCCAGTGTGGAGTCAGGCATCTTCAGAACCAGACCAAATTAGGAAGCGCAGAAGCCCACGGTGCGGAGCTCTGCCCCGGCAGGGGATTCCTGTTGTGGAGAATTATAGTTCAAGCTCAACTTTCTTTCCAGCCAGGGCCCCCTCCCTTCCTCCCTGTGCAGACTTGCCACTACCCATGCACAAATGCTCACTCCCTGGGCAACCCTGGATTGACCACAGTAGACCAGAGCCCCTCCGCAGCTCCCAGGCATCAGGAACCGCGGCAAAGTTCAGGGCACACCCGATTGAAAGTGATGTGGACCTTCTGCGTTCCCTCCCCTAGTTCTTAGTCTCGTGTCAGTTGTGATGTGTGAATCGGTCGTTCCTGCTGTCTCTCTGTAGGTCTGTGACCCTCTGAGCTTGCTCTCAGGTTTCTTTTCTTCTTGGGAAGAGAGAATGTAGGTGTTGAAAGAGTAAATGATTCAGGCAAGGAATTTAAGGATGTATATATTGTGAAGACTTTTAAGGATAGGAGATTACTATTTACTGACTGAAGAACAGATAAAGTCTGGGAATCCCAGGACACCAAGCCAAAGGTCTAAGAAATCATCTTTCAAAAAGTTTTAATAATGAAGTTATTTCAAGGAAACTGATGTTCACAAAGGTTTGGCTGGCCTCCAGATTCCAGTTACTTTTAAAAACCCATTTCCCAGGGCTGGGGATGTAGTTCAGTTGGTGGCACCCTTACCTGGCACGCCCGAGTCCCCGGCTTCCATCCCCAGTGCTGGGGAGGGGCAAGCATTTACCACTAGATTCTTCAGGGTCCCATATGGATAGTAAAGGGAAATAAATGTATAGAAATAGCATTTCTCCTTCTCACTTCCCTTCTGAAACAGAGTCCAGAGCACAGTCAAGCACTTGGCATGGCAGAGACTAAAGATTGCACCTTCTATAGTAGTTTCTACCCAAATGCAGCCCCTCTCTGTGCCTGTCAGCATGCAGTTAGATCTGGACAAATAAGATTCCCGAGGAATGACTTTCTTAACTATTCTATGGTTTCAGCTTTATGTAAACACATATATTCTGGTTCTAGTTCCACTATGAAGATGCTGCTGCAATGCTGGCCTTAGGTAGTCTGTATGATGCTTTAATTGCTCAGAGGAGGCCAGGCATGGGGCTGAGGTGTGGCCTGAACCTTCCCTGTATGGAGTCTTCAATACCGACTGTCCAGATGCCACTCTGTCCCTCTGCCTTTTGGTGGTATCTGAACATGCTCAACAAAAGTTCTTCCTCTTCATGTAAGTCACTGACTCTATTTGTGAATCATTGCCAAATGGACACATAGAAATTTGAACTCTGAAACCACATCCGATCCAGATACAGGGCAGCGTCTAGGTCACACCTGCAGCCTCAGCTTGGTCCTTTGCCACCCTGGGGACAGGATTCAGGCATTCTGATAAGTCCCCCAGGCAGCAGTCAGCTTTCCAGTATCGCTGTTGGCGAGTCAGTGTTTGCCAGTAGATACCCACTGTACTAACGTGCCAAGTGTTTATTGCACATCTGTTTCCACTGTGTTCTCCAGTGCCCTGAAGTGTGCGAGGAGCCCTTCACCGGGTCAGGGGGACACGCCACATTGACTCCTGTTGTCAGGGCTGTGTTGTGTGGAATAATCATCCTCATAGATTTTATACACATAGTAATTTCCCTTTTTATATGTCAGGTAAATATTTGTAAAAGTTATACTCACACAAAAGAATTATTATGATAATTACTAATATATTTTTTCCATGTTTCATTGCCTGAATAAAAACTGTTTACCACTGTTAAATCTGGGGTATGTTTTTCTGGTCGTCAGATGTTTTATCCTTGAGTATTTATGGTAGGGTAGCCTCTCATAAGTTCCCTATGTCTGTCTGAAAATAGAAAACATGACATTTTCCTACACTCGTTTTCTGGGGCCTCATGCATTTCATTGGGCATGTAATTGAAAACAAAACAAACTCTGGAATTCAGACCTCGCCGTACAAAC